CTGATATTATTGTTTTTGCTAATGTATTTTTTTTTTTAAATATTTAAATAATATATTCTAGAATACTTAAATATATGCCCTGAGCTTTGAGGATGTTAGCCATTAATACGATCCCCGGACTGTAAGGCTTTAATTCTTGCTGAGGTACCGCAAGAAGTCATTCGTTACCTCTGAGGTTGCCTCAGCAGTGGCTGTTCAAACCTCCTGTTCTTCCTCTTGGGAACTATACTTGTATTAGCAGTCCTATCCTTTCTTCATTACTTTATCATTTCAATCATTCATGACAATATTTGATTAAATACCTACAATGAAATGTAAATCAATATAGTTTGTATAATTTTTACTTTCATTTCCCCTTTGTCTGAAAATACTTGATTCTACTTAAGGCCGGTCCACACGCTCCGTTTTACACAACGTTTTGTCTGCGCAGTCTTAAGACGGAATGAAAACGTTGCAATTTGCAGAGCGTCCACACGGCACAGACATATCCGTATATTTTGCTCAGTTTTGTGTGAGATCGCCATGAAGGAGGTACTACTCTGGTCGATTTTCGCGATGTGTATTGTTAAAAAAAAAATATTGGAACATCTCAGAAGTACCCGGCGTTCAAAGTGGTCGCGGAAGTGGCTTCTAAAAAGGCAGCACTTTTCCCATATCAAATTATTGCGTGAATTACGTGATGAACCTAATGATTGGCGGAACTACTTGCGAATGGACATTGACACATATACTTATTTATTGGAATTGGTGACACCGCATATCAACAAAGAAAATACTTGTATGAGAACAGCAATATCAGCACATGAAAGGCTAACAGCAACTTTATTTATTTAATAAGATTTATTAACAAAGAAAATACTTGTATGAGAACAGCAATATCAGCACATGAAAGGCTAACAGCAACTTTATTTATTTAATAAGATTTATTTATTTAATAAGATTTATTAGCTAAAATTTCATACGCCTCCGCCTACTTATCCCTGTCACTGTATTCTTTTGATTTTACACGCCAAATGCACGGGAAACTTTCATACAGAACAATAAAATCAGTTAAAAACTCCCTAGAACATTGCCGAAGGTCAGCCATTGTCGCCCGACGGATTGAAACTGAGTGGCAAAACGGATCGGAAAACGGTGCTACCGTCCACATGCGCCGACTTGCCTGCGCAGTTCAAGGAAATCTGAGCTGTCTGGCTCAGTTTTACTAAGACTGTACCGTCTTCCAAATGGATTCAAAACTGCACTGTTTTCCAGTCCACACGCAACGTTTTATCTGCAACGTTTTGAACTGCGCAGACAAAACGTTGTGCAAAACGGAGCGTGTGGACCGGCCTTTAGAGGTTGGTAAGTGAAAGTGGTGTGATGCGCGCACCAGATTTTTTTCTGTCCGAATACCAAGTTGTAGTAAAGTTTATTTTACCATAGATCTTGATGTTCTGTCTAATGGTTTATTGTAAACTCAGAAATAGTTGTGTCTGATTGCTTAAAGTTTAAACGAAAGTAATATTTTCTATTAGTTCAAGCTAATCATTTATTAAGTAAAGTGTTTCTCTACACTTCATACTGTAGTTTAATCAATCGTGTATGTTAAATAGATTGCCTTGATACTATTATATACTATGTATGAATAAATATGCTTCGCTGATTATACATTAAATGCATTAGGAAGAAGCTGTATAATTTGGGAGTTCTTATTGAGCTGTACTAGCTGATGAATACTATAATTGATACTTCATTTCAATTGAACACCGTCATATTTTACTTCATAGATATAGACTAAGGTTGCTATGCCTGCATTGTTACATTTATTGCATTGCTTTTTTATTTTTTTTTTTTTTTAGAGTTTTTAATCCTACGTCCATACTGTCATAATTTGGTAACCATAACATTATTAAGTTAGCGTTGGCTAAGATCTATTTAGCCTCGGCTTTTGTTCTTTTTAGCGATACTTACCTGACTGCTTTGTTGTCGAAAATACTTTGATGTAAATGACGATATAAAACGTATTCAATTTTATCCTCTCTCTCGCCTCCCCTAGCGTGTGTGGAGGGTGCTTCATTCCTATTTCCTATATCAAAGAGGGTTCCTTGAAAATGAAACGTCGCTGTTTGAAAATGGTGCTGTAACTTCGTAAGAGGCTTTTCCGTTAGACCAAATTTTCTTTGTACATTTGATCGCATTTGTGCAGGAAATATTTTAATAAACTGTCTTAAAGACATATTTAGATTTAACTGTCATTAAGAGTGAAAACTGTGTACTGCCATATATTTGCTTTTCCGTTTTCTTTCTCAACGTATCGTGTTTTTAGTTGTTTCTGAAGTTTTATGATAATATTTACTTTTATAACATAATCTTTTAGATTTTGAAAATTAGAAAGATTTTGCGGTGGATCTATTTAAGTATATAAACATTTTTTTGGAAATTTTCTTACAGATAGCAGAATTTCCTCTCTTCCTTTAATTTATTATTGTTATTATTTTTATGGTTCATTCTAATTTTTTTTTTTTTTTAAATTGTATTTCGAGTATCTACTTTATAATATCTCAGTATTTTATAATTTAAGACCAATGATTTAATATTTGGAATATATTTTAATATGATATCATTATCTACTTTTTCCATTTCATCATACGAAACCATCTATAATATTCGACTTTAATATTTTAGGTTCGCTAATTTCTTGTCATTCGTAAATTAAAATAATAAAATATATATTTATGTTAGAAGACCAATTGTACAATATATTCAATAGGTGTAAATTGTTATAGAATTTTCATGAAACTCCTTTAGAAACTTAAATGGTGATAAAAAAAAACAAAAAAAAAAACATGTCATTCATGTATCAGGTTTATCGAATGATGAATTCTAAGACAACAATTAATTAAAATTTAAATTTAACTGTTTAAATTATTAAACTTATTTCAAAAGTTAAACCTGTCTAACAGATGTTACAAACCAGAATTTTAAATAAGAATTACATTTATCAAATTTTTTTGTGTTTCCAATAATATTCACGTTCATTTCTTTGTTTTCGCGTACGTTTCTAGATTCTTTTCGTCCGTTTCAACGATTATCACCTTTAATAATTTTTTCAGTAATTTTCCAACATAATTGGATTATATTGTATTTTGATTGAATTATCCTATTGTGTTTGTTATACCTGTTAATATTTTAATACTAAAAACATTAAATTTCAATTTTGTATTTTGCCTTAAAAATTGTAGCAGAATATTGCAGTGTTATTCGTAATCATGACAATAGGAATTAGCTAGAATAGATACGGTGGTATATCAAGGTAAGATATATCTAGACGTGGCAAGACGGTTGCCTGAGGAGGTATCTGTAACGGGATTTATCGCCAGTTAATGGTAAAGCGATGAGCCGTTGGAATTAGCCAGCGTTGGAGTAATGGTGGTAGGTAATGGATACTCCCCTCGAAATGCTCACCCATTGCTAATTATTTAACTAATTGAAGGCGTCCTCGTAAATATGTATGATGGCCTCGCCTTACTCTCTCTCTTACATAAATTATTCATTATATTTACCCGACACTTTGTACATTTATAATTGCCTTTGGAGCACCTTAGAGGCATCTGCATCTTTTCTCTCAGCTCTAACAGATTTTTTTTTTCCTTTCTTTTTTACCACTTTCATCCTTATTGCAAGGTGCAATGCAAAGATCAGTTTTTCTTTTATTAAACGTATTCTTTAACCGCTCTAGTGAAATTATTCATAAATTCAATACGATCCATACGTCTTGATACTTTTATAAATGGTTTTATAAATTTACACCAGAGACCACTTTAACAGGACGAAGGTCCCTTTTTATTGAATTATTAACATCCCTCTAAAACTTTGTGAATAGCTTCATGTTATCGTAACTAACATCTTTTTACCTTGGAAAATTCTCAGAAATTTTATTATTAAATTAATTATTTTATGTATTACTAAAAACAAATGAATGTCCATTTGCGTTCTGCTTGAATCGCAAGTTAATTTGAATGTGGCCTACAAAAATATTTGGCCGTTTGGCCTATATAACCTCGTTATTTCGACACGTTCAAGGTAGAGGTCCCGCCACGTGACAAATTATTTTTTTAGGCCACCTCTTTTCTCGATTTTGTGATCAAATTATATTAAGTTATATTTTCTTTTTTCTTTCTTATTTCAGCCTTCTCGTTTTTTTCCTCCTTCCTTTGATTCCTTTTCTCCGTTTTAACTCTTTATTATATTATACGTTATCAGTACATCTTGATAGACTTTACAATATCTCAATTTTCTATCTAACTAATCTATTTAAAATATCTTAATTTTAATATTTATTTTTATTTCTTATATAACATATAAGAAATAACAATTCACATTTGATTCTAAGATTACCATTTTAGCTCTTATGTCACTTTATTTTGATTATGTTCACTTCATTATCCCACACTTTGTAAAGGTTATTATTATTTATTTCTTATTTCTTGTTCTTGTCATTATTCCACCCACTTCATTTTACTTTATTTGTTTACCTACATTGTTTATGTTTCGCATACCTTTTTATCTGGTTCTTTTCTTAGCACTGATGAAGGCCTGAACTTCAAGTCGAAACGTCGGCAAATGTTAAAATAAATATTCTTATTTACTTTGCCTTTTTATTTCTGACTGATTACCCCAACCGTCTTTCTCTTCACTATATTAAGATTTAATTCATTCAAAATATCCCATTTCCCAGGATTTTCATAAACAAAAAAGTTGTAACATGGAACTATTAAGGAACTCTTAGACGGGTGTTAATAATTTGATAAAAATGAGTCCTCACCGCGGACTATGAAGGTTAGCAGTTTGAATGGATTTGTTTTCTCAACTGGCTCCGTTGCTCTGGCGATCGTACAGCTGTGCAACTAGAAAGAAATCTAATCCTCCGTTAGCGAGAGGTCGACTGGAGATAATGAGGTGGCGGCGAGGAACACTGGAGCCTAGCTTTGCTTGAGATCCTTTGCTTATCCTGCCTAATGCGGCCCGCTCCTGCTAATCCTCCAGGATCCCTTCCAGTCACCACTTTAGCGGCCACTGTTTACACACCTTATCTACATTTTCACCACCGTCTTTTTAATGTCACTTCTTCGTTCCCTTACTCACCATACAAATACCGTTGTATTTGCATTCTTACCTTCTGCTATTGCATTTTGTTTATTAATACCCTAGTCCAAGAGTCCTCGACCTTTTTATACCTCAGAGTACATTTAGAGGTTCCCTAGATTTTTCATTGTTTGATATCGTTAATTATGATAAAAAAATATAATATATTTTATATAATAGTATATACAGTTAGAACTCTGAGACTCTACTTATAAGCGACACCAAACATTTTTTTTCATATATATCATGTATTATTATCAACATAACAAAATCAGTGAAGCTTGACTTCACGATTTTTAAGATAACGTAGTATACGTAAATAAGTGATTTAGCTGGGTCCACTGCAAAATATTCCTCCAGTTTAACAGTTGTTGGTAAGACACAGCTATCCCGAAACATATTTATCCATTATTGTACTCGCTCCAGACCTGTCTGTTTCGGGCAGAAGTGCCTTTGTTGGCAGTTCTCTCATTTACTTATAGTATAGAAGTTCATTACGGGGAGTATATAGTTCAAGCCATACATTGATAAAAAATTTCAAACTGCTATTCTTCTCCATATGCTTCTTGAAAAGATAATTGGTTTGTCAAATACTATCATAAATAGCAATAGTTAATTTTTAAAATCTAAACATTTTATAATTACCTAAGGACAACCATATTATCTTAGAGGCCTTCAGTAAGAATTACGATTTACCTCTAAAACTGTACATTTTGGGCTTTAAAAGGAAAGGACTGATATAATAATTCGTTTGAAACTATACTGGGTTGTGATGACCGCGTAGAAATCTTTAAAAGCCTTTTTTTAAAATAAATTTATTATATTTAGAATATAATAATCTGTTAACTGAACAATAATTATAGTGATATAACATTCACATCATATATACAGAAAACATAAAATTAACAAAAGTAAAATAAAAACTAAATAATAATCAGAAAGTAATTAAGAAAATAAAAACACAGTCATACCTATATACAATATATACAAGCAGGCATAGAACCCCAAGCCAGGCTTCTCCCTCCAACTATAGAAGGAAAAGCAGGACTCCAAGAGATCCCTGCGCTACTCTCTCAACCGCGTCACTGGTACTAAAGCCAAAACTTAATTAATCTCGTCTTAATCCGTCTACTTTTGAAACCATTAAGTTTTAAAACCTTTCAATTTTTTCTACGATTTTTATTGTAGCTGTAAGGTTTTACATTAATTAATCAATTAATATAAGCCGCCCTACATACTGTTTCAACACCTAAAACTTGCAGTATTTAGACGTGTATTTAGAAATGTGACCATTATTGAAAGTTAAACAGAATTATTGAATATTTAACAGTTCACCGTTGCATTATAAAGGAAGGAGATGGTCCGGGGTTGCGGTCATAAATAGGCTAAATAGTGGTAAAACTATTTTATTAAATAGATTAAAAAAATAAAATAGTTTTACCACTATTTAGCCTATTTATGACCGCAACCCGGACCATCTCCTTCTTTAACAGAATTAATTATAATTATTGTTTAGCGTTGATTTTTTTTATTTAATTGTTTTTAATGAATTGAATTTTCCCTCAGCCAAACTCCTCCCTCAGTCGGTTCTTCCACTTCTGTCTAACGCTTCCTCCGCCTCCACGAGGTCTTCCTCTCCTCCTATCCTCGACCTCCCACTCAAATACCGTTTTGGGAAGTCATTTCCTATTCATCCTTATCATATGCCCTATATCACTGTAATCTTCTTTCTTCCATTATTTCTAGAATATTATTCTTAACTTCTATCCTTTCTCTAATTGTCTCTTTTCTGATTCTTTGCCTCCTTGAATCTCTAGCCGACCTCATCCAAAAGCCCATCCCCACAGCTAGAAATCTTTAGCTTTGTGATTTTTTGACCAGCCACGTTTCCGAACTATTGTAATGCTCTCTACCACCAGGGCCTTATATATTAATTTCTTTACTTTATTATAAATATTTTCATTCCAGAGAACTGAATTGAGCATACCAGTAAATCAGTGTTATACGTAATAAGTGCTAGTCATTGCTCTCTGTAATTAAGAAAATTTTAAAAACTTGGAATTATTCCAGAAGCCAAACTTTGTTTTTATGTAAAGAGGTGTTGTTGGTGCGTAATTATTTTTTTAAATAATAAAAAACATACCTCAATCCCTCTTATGAATATTTTCTTGTGTCCAATATTTGTGATGACATTCACAACTCTCTTTTAATTATAAATTATATCTACCCATTAGATACGTTTTGTTGATATTTGAAGCAGTTTGATTGCTCACCTTATCCTATTGCTATGTTTAGTTTAAGCCTTGTAATGTTGAAGACTGTGAGGGAGCTAAGAGTAGACGATGGTGTTACTTAAAATTATACCCCAATGTGTCTTTTTGCAGCGCGGTAGCGACGTGCTTCAGGGAGGCCCGGCTGGCAACGGCGATGTCCTGTCCCCCGAACACAATCACACAGACAACAATAACGACGCCAAAAAGGTAAGCCTTTAACTATTTTTATTTTTTAATTGTTAATATTGCATGTTTATATTGCAACTGGTGCAGGGGTTTCATCTAGTTTAAGATCGATAAATCAAAATTTCTTGTATGAAAATATTGATGATCATAGGATAGAATTTTTGAAATCATTTGAATCACTTGATCTCTGGAAGTCTTTTTAACACAAACTGGAGTGTTAAACAGGATTGGATTGATTCTTCTTTGCACGATAAAAAATAATGTCAGTCATCTTGCACTAGGTCAGTGCGTAGGTCAGTGCTTATAAATAGAGAGGCGACGGATTCATTTAACTGAAAGATGTAATACTAGCAAACGTTTAGTTAAAAAGTACTTACCCTTCTAAACTATGAAATTTTCGTCAATTAAGTTATACCAGGAGGATTTCAAGTCCAAGATTTTAATTTAAGTTTGCCAAGTATAAACTAACTAAGAAATGTGAGTTTGGTTCGCAAAAAGTTTATTAACTTTGATTTTCAAGTATTTTATATATGTTTAATTATTTTAAATTTCAAGTAATATATATGTATATAATTTTTCTATTTTTTTTTCAAAATAGCTAAAAATGCACCATGGATTGTCTAACACAAGCGGACACAATGATGGTAAACTTCGAGAGCAAAACATACATATAAAATCAAAATTTCTTAACCTTTTGTTACCAAACTCCACTTTTTAGAGTTTTTTTTCGTGAGTTAATTTAAATTCTAGTTTTCGGCTTGAGTACCGTTATAAAGTAACTTATAACCAGTCTATATGTGCGGTTTCCGCCATCTTCAGAAAAAAACAACATAAAACATCCTATTTTGTTTTTTAAATTTATTTTCAATAACTCACTTCCAGGGTCAAAAAGTAAGTTCTTACGAATTTTATAGTTGATTATTTTTTCTACATGTTTTAGAGGTAGCATGATGTAGTAGGAAATTAAATCTTTTCCAAGAAATTTTATCATGCATTATGCTATAAACAGCACTAAAACCTAGTTCTTAGGGAGAAAATGAGATATCTGAGTGTTTGAGTTGTTTTTAACAATCCCATATATCAATTATTTTTTAAATATGTTACGTATAAAAGATGCAGAAAATTCAATGTCGTTTTATCATCGGTAATACCTGTGCCTAAAATCCACTGGATTCTTTATTCTAAGGCAGAACTAAAAATTTACTTTTTTTTTTCTCTTTTTTTTCCAAGATAGTTACGTATACATACAACATACCAAAAAATCAAAATTGCTCGCACTACATATTCCGACGAAATGAATACGCCGCAAGGCATTATTTATTACGACACTCCTTCCGAACCTAGTGCCCTGTTCTGCTGTGAATAAAAATGTATTTTATATATTTTTATTTCTTTCATATAGGGAATCTTCTAGGATCTTCCTACATTTTCTAGTTACCGCGTTCTTACTACTTTAGTTATTGGGGAAAAAACTGACGGCTGAGCGAAGGTTGTGCGAACTGACCACATCTTCTCGTTGTGTTTTCATTATTAAGGAGAAAGTCGGCAGTTTTTTATCAAGCAACTCAAAACCCTTTAAGAATTGCGACACGGACATTATTTGACATTGAACTCGAATAGAATTTCGCATGATTTTTTAATTGGATCGTTGGTACTATTCGAATGAGTATATATATATTAGTTGATGTTTCTCTATGTTGTACATTGCTTTGGATACTTATCCCGTAGTGACCATTATCGAAGGGTATAGCCTTTTACGAGTGAGTGGCCATAAAAGTGATGGAGCGTGGATAATGGGCCGCAATGGGATTGTTTGCCTTTAATTTTGAAAATGAGGTTGGGGCAGGTGCATAGGCCCCACTGACAGGCGGCTGGTTAATACCTTAATGGCGGAGCTGGTATTATTCCAGCGGTATCACTTCTGCCTCTGACATAATTCCAGTTAGTTAGTGCTTCCAGTTAGGGATTGATCCGGTTATAGCCATTAGGTTAGAACCGCTAATGCCTACCAGCGTCTTCTTCTCCGGCTCTTTAATTACCGCAATTGTTTATGACTACTATTAATATATTACTCAACTTAGCACTCCATCCAACGTTGATTCAAGTTTGTTAGGTTAACTTAATATTTTAAAAACGTCTTACTTTGAATCTCCATACTAGACTAAAAAGACAAGAAACTGTTCGAAGTTTTCAGCTACTTTAATACTTGTTAGACCAACGCGCTAAGCTTTTAATTAATTACAAAAGGTGCATTTAAGTATAAAAGGCCTGTGTAGACATACAGAGTTGAGCTTAGGGACTCCTTCAAACCGTCGAATTCCTCTTGTATCCAATCTCAAGTTCTTCGTAAATCATCAATGTTCCATATTTTGTTCAAAATAAAATCACTCCCAAAACCTTAATGTTCCATATTTCGCTCCACGTCCATCCAACCACACTTGTTTCCAACCTTGCTTCCTGCTGAATTCCTTATAATCCTCCTAAGGGTCTGAAAAGAAGATGGCCCGGGATATTCTTACTTAAAACAAGGTAGAAACTGCTGCCATTGGATATTATCTTGACAAGTATGTTCCTATCTTTCTTCTTGTCGCGTTCACATTTAAATATTTTTGAAAATGTAAAAAAAAAAAAAAAAAAAAAAAATAGGGACCTTGCCTTCTTATTCTTTTCTCGGTTGACACAATTTTTCTTGAATTATTTATTCTCGAATCTGTTTTTAAAAAAAATATATGTATAAGTTTAAGCTGATTTTACTCTTTTCAATTTTATTAATTAGTTAATAAAACTTTGCAACATTAACTCATTGCTGAAGGTAGCCGACAAATGCCTTTGTTTTTTTACTTTAACGGAGTAGGAGGTTTTAAAACTTTAAAGAAAATTTAATAAATTAGCCGGGCCTCTCCTTTTAATTACCTGCTTGTTAAGTATTTAAGAATTAAGGAGCAGTTTTTTGAAGTATGTTTCCCTCCTCTTTTTCAACTTTCTGATCCTCCTTTTTGATTCCTATACTAATTAAGTGTTTATTAATCCTGTTTAAACTTTGACGAGTTTCAATTTAATTAAAGTCATATTACGGAGAGAGGGCCTGATTTAGTTTTAATTGAGAGGTGTTAATAAAGATTCTTAGGAAATAAAAAAGTCTTGATAAAATGATCTGCTTTCGTTCATTAGTATGTGTGCCTACCCGCTTAGGTTGGGTGTAGTCTATATAAAATTGCCTGTAAGTTACTTTAACGAGGCGTTCCGAAGTTTGCTTCATTAAAATTTGAATAAAGTTATCCCTATGGCTCCTCCTATCCCCCGCTGCCGAGCTTACCATATTAATTTGATCACTTACCTCTAAGGTAATATTCCTTTAAGTAAATACTCTTACAGCTGTGTACTGTTAAACAATCACACGAATCCCTAATAAACACCGGACGTCCATTAAATCTGATTTAATTACATAATAATTGTCAAGGAGGAGATCGCTGTAAGATTTTTTTTATTGTTTATAGAAACAGCGTAACTTGCACTTGGTCTCTTATAAAATGTTTACAATAACTATGCAAAATTGTATAAGATCGATTTATAGGGAAATACATAAACAGTATTCCCCAGCATTTAATTTCAGTTTATTATATTCAATAATGAACCATTGTAATCGACCAACAAAGATAAAACTTAATCCCCTCCCTTCAAAATTTGAAGTTTTACGGTTTAAGATACGTAAAATTTTAAAATCGAATACAATTTTTTTTCGTTCGCTCTATGCGCATTTTCTCTGAAATTACTGGACCGATTTTTTTCAAATTTTTAATTTTATGTCAGAGGTCATCCGAGGATGATCCTCCTACATCGACATAACTATCGGCCTTTTTCTTTCAAGATAGCGGCCGAAAAACCTGTGTTGCTATAGACTGTAGCGCCTAAACGAATGTACCGATTTCAATGAAACTTGGCTAAAGTCTTCTTCTCCATGCCCTTTAAATTTATCTATATAACATACTTCAACGAAAAGAATCTGGAAAAAAAAGTTACGAGGGTGGTATAAGTAGATACCGAATAACTCAAAAAGTATACTTTTTGTCGATATTGTCAAGTACGAAATTTCGAAATAAAAAGAAAGAAAAAAATCATTAAAATCGGATAATTTGGGAAAAAGAAATGGTCTCTGGATATTTTTTATATGTTCTACTGCAAAGGTTATTATATCCTTTCTTTTGGTTTTTGATTTTTGAAAGTGTATGAAGTGATTCTTTTATTTTATTTGTTTGGCCAATTAATAATGCTGAAAAAAAAGATGTTTAGCCAAAAATAGGAATCGCCTTTTATTTCTTTTTCTTTGTCACAAGGAAGATAATGTTACTTTAGATGTATAATTATGTAAATAACAAACCATTGTGAAATAATATGCAGCGTTTTTTTTTATTGGCATAAAATTAATAATATTTTATTTAAAAGGCAAAAAAAAAAAATAGTCTATTTTTGTGTTATCTAGGAGATCTTATAAGTCTGCGGAAAAGAAAGTACCCATTTTTATTTTTTTAAACAGCTTATTTTAAATAGTTTTTGAGAAAAAATAACTATCACTGGTACCAAGGTAATATAGAAGTGAATACATTTGTGATGTGCAAATATATTGAAATGTAAAATAACATTTGAAAACCATTATATAAAGATTCAAAGAAACGCCCTCAAACCAAGATTTTGTTGTTTAAAAAATTATGATAATATTATTAAATATTTTTAGTTCTTTTGCGATTTGAACAATTTCCTCAAACATTTTATTATTCATTTCCCTCCTCCTACAAATCTTCTGAATTCTTTTAATCATTTTGGGGGCCATTTCAATGAAGGAATTTCTAAATCAGAAATTTTGCTTGCACAAAAAGTAATTAAATTTATATTTTTTTTAAGATGTTTATTGCAAGCGTTAGGTATATATATTAATGTATATTTTAATTACTTATTCTGGTGGACAGAGCATCTCTCTTAGCGATAACAATTTTTCATTGTTTCTTCAACAATGTATTAAGTTTTTTTTAATTTATTTATTAGAATAAAAATCGGACGTGGAGCAGACTTTTTAATTTAAATAATAAATACTTCTAAAATTTTAATGATTTGACTAAGATTGAAGCAGTTATTTTACGATGAATTATTAATATACCGCGGATTAACCGCTGTGGTATTCTATAACGAATGTAACTGTCATATTGATTCGGGCTCTTTAATTTAATGATCATATTTATCTGTTGTACAGTTCCGATATATGTTTAATATCCGTATCAAATTATATTTGTCACATGATGCAATTAAAATTTTGAGGAATATCAGGAAGGAAAAAATCTCTGTATTAATATTTATCTACTTAAAAAAAAATATAATTATTATTTTTTTTGTATAATAGTTTAGCATTATTTTCTAAATTTTAAATTAATTATTTGTTTTAATAATTATTCTATTTATTTTTTTATTATTTTAATTTTTAATTATGTTATATTCAAACACTTAAGCGGTATGATTTTAATTACTCATGTTTTAGAATCATTATTGTTCGTATACTTTGATCTACTTCGTTTTTCACGTTTTGCAATTTATGAAAGATATCATATCTTGTCGGTTATTTCCAAAGTGAAACTATCTTTGTAAATAACGAATCCTAATATTAAAAAAAAGTGGTGTGAAAATAAGTTTATTTCCGACCTTTTTTTCAAAGAATTCTTTAAAGAAGAAAATCTATAAAAAACGCTTTTAACAGCTAAATTCAGATGGAAATAATAAAGAAATCAATTTTATTGTAACATTATTTAAAAAAAAAAATAGGTAACTTTTTTTTTGTGTAATTCGTATTACTATTTTATACCCTAAATCATTCTCTGTCTCAAAACTGGGCCTTGATGTTAATTTTTCTCTTCAAAAGGGGGCTCCTGTTTAGGTTTAAATTTTTTTTATTTTTTATTTCTACTGAAATAAAGAATTATCTTCGGAAATATGTCACAAATAGAATTTCTTAATTCTGTTTTTAAAAAATATTGGTTTTGATATTACGATGTGATTAAAAAATACAGTTTTTTCGCGTTTCCTGAAATTTCGTCAGTGAAAATTGGGGTTAACTTTGGAAATGACCGACTCGTATGTAATGCGTATATGCTATTTGTTGTAAAGTACGAAAATAAACACTAAATTTGTATTAATGCAATTTTATAGTACTAAGCATTGATTGATATTAGGTATTTGTGATTTTTTTTCCCCCCGAACTTTCTTTGACTTAGGAGATTTTCCCAGGCATTTATTAACCTTTCATATAAGCTTTTCGTGGTGGTAGTCATCAAGTTACTGAAGGATCGAATAATTTGATAAACTTTTCCGAAAAAAAAAGTTGGCTATTAAAACTGACCATTATACAAGTCATAACGTTATCTTTTAATTTGTCTATCGAAGCGTGTTTATAATTAAAGAGTCGGGGACGGCCTCCACATGACGTTTTGAAGATGAAGAGGAATGTATGGTCCCGCTTTGATGGACCAATACGAGCGTTCCTCACATGAAAGAAGTATATTTCTTTTTGAGAGACTTTTTTTTCCCCTCCCCCCTCGCCCCGGGTTAGAAAAGTTAACCGATGGGATATAGAGGCGGACAGAGAGAGGGACTTAAGGTTTTCAAAAGTGATTCCATTTCTGTATTTATCTGTATAAGGGCAGGGCTACACGTAGCAATAGCCGGGGCCACCCCATCCCAGCGGGATTAGGCCGGCAAATCTTCCCCAGCCGGTGTCCGAATTAATTGCTATATAGGTCGCCCTTCCCCCCGCCCTATCTTGAACCTCTTGGACCAATAAATATTTTTCCTAATCCGACCTTTCATTTTAGTTAGAGTTTAATCGTTTAAAAAAAAAAAACCTTTTTCCCCGAGCCCTATACCACCACAAGGGCCCGGCTATTGCTGTTGGAGAGGAGCCAGTAAATTGCTCGTTAGAACTTTTCCTTTTCCACCCTTCTGCCAGATAGTATCCCCTCCCCATTTTTTTTTCTCGTCCTCTCTTGACCTTTTATAGGATAATTATCTGCTCAAATAAACACTCTTATTTTTATTTTTTTCGTTTTTAAAAATCTCCACCGCTTTGTAATGATGTTAAATTAGAAATGTGTCAAAATTAATATGGTACGATTTTAAATTTTATAATTGTGGATTGATGATTGATAGTCCGTGGTACAGATACTTTTTTATAAAATTATTAACATCCGGCTGAAACTTCGTAAATTGCTTCATATCATCGTAACCTACAAATATTTTACGTACGAAAATTCTCGAAATCGGTGCGTTTTCAATCTGGAGATCTGCAAACTTTGTCTATTTAATTAGGCACTAAAAACTTAAAAATACCCATTCGCTTTCCACTTGAATCTTGAATTAAAGATAACTTGAGCAAAAAGGTGGCCTTGAAAAAGATTGAGCCGTTTGGCCTATATAACGTCGTTATTTTGACTGTTCGGGGGTGTAGGTAACGCCAGACAGCTCAATATTTCTGAATGCCATCATTTTTATCGATTTTGGTGCAATTAAACAGGGAAAGTTTGCCGACCTCCAGATTGAAAACGCTGCAATTCTGAGAATTTTCATCTATAAAATATTTGTAGGTTATGAGGATATGAAGCTATTTACGAAGTTTCGGGCTGTTGTAAATAATTTTATAAAAAGGGCTCTGTACTGTAGTGAATAATTGAAGAGAAGATTGGTGGGGGTGTTCAGTAAAAAAAAATAAATTATATTTATTTTTGCTGACGCTTCAGCCTAAAGCTCCGGCCTTCTTCAGGGCTGATGCTAGTTTCTCCTGTCCATTGTTATGTGTTTATTTTCTTAGCCGTGATGAAGGCCTGAACTTTAAATAGATATAATTTACGTATTTTTACATTTTTTTTTATTACTTTTATAACCAATCTTCTATTCAATTCTTTTAAATTTTAATCCGACCTAATAAAATAAAATGTAATTGGTAAATCTATCATTTGAGTCGTTCAATCTAAATAATCATTGACAAATTTTCAGGTAACCTGAAAAACTATATTTTCTCCTCCAATTGTAACTTTAAATTATTTTTTTTAAAAATAAATTGAGAAATTTTTTATTTTTAGCACATATTTGATCATCGAAAATCACAGATTTTTTCAATTGAATTTAAAAAAAACTTGTATAAGTCCGTTTTCGATAGAATTTAACTTGGAGGCCCGTTTTTAAGAACAAAAAAGTGGTTGGAGTGAAAAAGTGGTGTGTGATTCGGGGCTGCACTTTTCACCATTGCTTTAGTATTAATAGTTTTGTATAAATTATTTTATTAATTAGTATAATGACTGATTTTGCTAAAAGCTTAAAAATGAAATCTTAAATCAGACTTCAAAGTCAGAATTTTCAGTCGGGCTTGTTTCGCAAGAAAGCCATTTTAATTAAAATGTTAGCTGCGATTTAATGCTGATATTTTTTCCTATTACAGTAATTAATTAGGCGGTCATTTTTCCTGTCCTTCTAATCATCCCCTTATCTGTCTTTTTTTTCAAACCTCTTTTTTCTTCTTTCGTTTCCAAATCTTTTGAGAAAAGCGTTCGTTTTTTTTTTCATGTTTAAACTCAAATCATATTCAATTCTTGATAGATAAAAATTATGTTGTATTAGTTTATTATAGAGCAATTTGTTCAGTGTTACATCAAAATTTATATGAGGCGAATAATTACAATTTTTTTTTCAATATATTTTTTTTGATACATCGAAAACATAGTGCACTTTTCATGACTTTGGGCCTCTTTTTTAAAATTATATTTAGAAACTTTTGTCAACATCGGTTTATTGGGGAATTCACAGTGGGACCGGTCTAGGAAGAATAAATTTATTGAACATAATTTTCTATTTGAAATCACGCATTCCTTACAATAATACAATAAAGTAGATGATTAAAAATATTACAGAAAATAAATACAGATAGAACTTTAATAATCTTAAATAATTCAACATAAATCGTCTTAAAAATTTTTGGTCCCGCAACCTCTGCCATGCAATCTCTTCTGGGCATCCATGCCATAGTATATCCTGTACTTTCCACTCGTTAATTTATTTAGAGCATGCAGAAAAACAGTGTTCGGTCTCCATATTGTCTAGAAACCTACAGAAGACCAGTCGTAGTTATCAGAAGGTTTGGAAAATTTACTTTAGTCCTGGCATGTTTTTCTAAAAAACATATTTTATGAACTTTTATCATGTAATTCATAACTTTTTCTTTTGATTAAAAAAATTTGAACATGCCTACCGTCGATATATTAAATAGACATTTTGTAATTATAATAGTCTTAATGACTTGTTATCTGTAAGCTTTAAGCGTTAGCTCCGATTAAAATGCACTTCAAAAAATGTTATAATAACCCAGCATTGCCAGAAAATAATTTCTATTCAAAGTAGAGCGGTAAGTGAAAGTTGTGTGTTGCAGACTTTTATTCTTAATACAGTTGTAAATATCATAAATAAATAAAATAATAAAGTTCTGAGAAAGGTTAGATTGGCAAATCGTTGACTGTTATTTGAGACTTTAGTTCAGAAAATTTGTTTACGGTTTCTGAAACAATAAAAAAAAAAATATTTCTTATCGCAAAACTGCGGAAAATTGAAGCGATGGGATACCGGGAAAATTATATTACGTGTTATTATATTAAATTATGTTATATTATATTATAACTAAAGGTTGTTTTTTATTTAAAAAAATCATAGCCATTTTTAAATACAATTCTAGCCAATATTAAACTGTTTGAACCTAAATTAGTCAAAAGTAGCAGTATCAAAAGCGGTTTTCAGTGATATTAAACAGGTACTGATTTGAATTATAAATGAAGTGATTGATTTGTCAACTGGTGGGATTGAAGGCCTACTTAAATAAACTTTGAAATTTTACTAGGGCGCATTTTAGGTCACCAAATATGTATACGAAGGATGCTTTATTACATTTTGAAAGTTGTTTTTCTCCTCTTAGAAAGGCGATCGTTGGGACGTATGGATAGCATTGAAAACTTATTTAAGAAAATAGAAAAAAAAAAGTAAATTGAGTCGGTTTTTAAAACTAATTGCCTCATTTACAAATCTTAATCTTAAATCGGACTCAGATCTTTTGATAAACACAACTTCTCTGGGATATTTATCTTTCTTAAGTTGGTTATAAAAATAAAAATAGACCGGTGTTGAAGAGGTAAAAGAAGATGGCAATAATAAGTTGTGTTTAGGGGAGGGAGGGGGGTTAATAAAAATATAAAGGGGGATGACAGAGGGGTCCAATAAAGATCTAACTGAAGAAGACTGCCAAGCAATTAGCGAGCTCATTTCGTCTCGGGAGTCACCCTCGGAGTTCTCTCGTCTAGAAAATGGACTCTTAACGCCCTGCAAAAAACTTATTTTTACCCGCAGGCAGATTTTTTCTCTCCTTTATTTTCACTGTTGCTTTTAGTAAAGTAGAAATGGCAATTTCTGAGGCGGCAATCGGACCGACCTCTCTCGGTTGGTTGATTTTAAAGGAGGCAGCCTTTCCACATTTGGCTCCTAGCATTAGCTTTGGGAATTTATATCTTAAAAATGCACTTACCCCCATACCAGACTGAAACGACTAGAAACCGCCCGACGTTTTCGACTACTGCAGCACTTACTAGACAAACGATCTAAGCTTTCAATCAATTATAAACGACTCGTATATATGACAATAATAAGACCTATTTGGACTTACGGAATTGAGCTTTGGGGCTCCACTAAACCATCGAATTCCTCTCGTATCCAATCCTTACAATCCAAAATCCTTCGTAAAATCCTCAATGCTCCTTACTTTGTCACAAATAAAATCATCCATAAAGACCTTAATGTTCCATATGTTTCCGATCTGGCCCAATCCAGATACCTTTCCTTCCATAACAAACTGCAGAATCATCCGAATCCTCTCGTTTCAAACCTTGCTTCCTCCTCGATCCCTGATAACCCTCCGAGGCGTCTGAAAAGAAGATGGCCTCGGGATCTTCTAATATAGAACTTTAATTTGAGTTCTACCAATGGGTAGTTTCTCTTCATGTTGTACATGCCATGTTACAAATTTCTCATTTACTTATTGTATTCTCTATGTAAAACAGTTGTAAATTCCATTGAAATAATAAAAAAAAAAAAAAAAAAAAAAAAAAAAATGCACTTGCTGGAATTACGCTATTTTATAGAGTGTAGAGTATAGTAAACACTTTTTTAAAAAATCAATAAAATCGTACACAGTGCAAGTCGAGAGGAACGGACCATACTTAAGGGGTGAGTTGCACACACGAAATTATAACAATTAAAAAAAAAAAATCGTATCCGATTTTCTTTAAATTTTAATTGAATTATCAGGAAGGCAACTCTTCCTTCTGTCTGTCGTATACATCCCGATTGTATTTCTTGGAAGAGGGACCTGAAAATGTATAAAAGACCATTGTGATATTTTCGAAAATTTATATTAAAAATAAATTTCTATAACTAAAATGCTAATTTATGTATGAAATAATGT